CCACCTATATTTTCCTTATTCATTTATATTTCAATAGCTTTTCCTGAGGGACACAGGCAAAAAGTTATAATTATTTCTCAAGGAATTTTACACAACCCACAGCCTACTCACGGGAGTTTGTTACTGGAAAGGGTACATCATTCCTCACACAGGACTGGCAAAGGACAGCTCCAGTCTATAAGACTCATGACTAAGTTGTACCAACATGGTTTCAGGGACTGTACAGAGAGAAATAGAGAGATGGCAGTTGTGTTCCGTGGGGAAATCTGAAATCACATCACTGCCATGATTTTTCCAATTGAGTGAGACTGGGAAGAAACAAAAATGGTAGTTCTTCTCATGGTAGTACCTGGGGCCATGTGTTATAGTCTGGATCCCAAGAGTTGAGGACACCTTCCAGTCAACTGTGATCATAAGCAACAGTTGTGGTGGGGCCTATCCCAAGCTAGCAGAACAGCAAGGGTAAAGCCAGTGAATAATTAGGTGAGCCAGCTACTTGCTGGCTGCTGGAGTGCCCCTGGCTCAGGTCCAAGATCCAACAGAGCCAAGAGGTTTATCCTCCTTGTACCTTGAAATCGCCCCTGTGCACTCAAATTTATTGAAGTCCTAATTACGCATTAAAGGCTGAATAGTCCCTAACCACTAAGTTATAGCTCCTTATAATCGGTTTTACAAACCTATAGTTTCTCTGTTGCTCATATTTCCCTTACAAATCCAACCTGAGAAAATTTACATTTAAAATCAGAGATAGGTAGGTAATTAAAGATAATCAGATGATTTGCTTTTAATAAAAAAGAAGAGAAAAATTGCTATGAATATGTGAAACTAAAACATTAAACAGGATGTTATCTGTCATATTAACATTTAGGAAAAAAAATCTTGTCATGACAGAAATACAATCAGTGGTTGCTCTGGGGCCAGGATTGTGGTAGAATTTTCTACAATGTGGCATGAGGATATTTTCTGGGGGCAAAGAAATGTTTTATATTTTGATTTTAATGTTGGTTACAGATATATAATGTGGAGATATGGGCTCATCTGCATATTTTATTACAAGGAAAAATAAAACTTTCTGTATTTCCTTACAACGAACTTGGGTAGCAGCCCAAGGCCATTCTAAAGTAAAAGCAAACTATACCCAGAACAGAAATCCCCCTCCTACTGAGTGGGTGAAGGCAGGGGAGGTGTAAATCTCCTAAGGAGGTGCTAAACAGTCTGCAACTTGCATGAAAGTTTTTGCTTTTGGAGGAGAATTTTATAGCAGGTGACCTTTTATCAAACACTGCTGATAAATAAGTATAAGCTGTAATAACTCAAAATTTTCAAGAAAAATGTTTAAGTTGAATGAGATGTAAAATTTAGTAATTTAAATTAGGTCATCAGCAAACCTATAGCTTTTAGTGAATTTTTGCTGAATGATTTTTAGAAGCTAAGGAAATACAGAGAACAGGGTTGATTCATTCAAGACATTGACAACCAAAATAAAAATAATATAGCAATAGAGCTGTCCCTTGGTATCCTGGAGAGACTGTTTCCAGGATTCCCATGCATACCAAAATCCCAGGATGCCGAAGTCCTTTATATAGAATGGTATCATATTTGTATATAACCTATACACATCTTTCAGTACACTGTTTATCATCTCTGGATTATTTCTAATATTTAATGCTGTGTAAAGGTTATGTAAATAGCTGTTATACTATATTCTTTAGGGAATAAAGACAAGGAAAAGTCTGTACATGTTTAGTACCAGCAAACTTTTAAAAAAATATTTTTTCATGGTTGGATTCATCTGAGGATGAGGGTACATGGACACGGAGACATACAAAAGCAAGATCAGTAGCCATTAGAGATTTCTGCAATTTCTTGTTGACAGTGTAGAATTATTACAATATTATGTTTACCTCTGAGCATTTTTGACCAGTTCTAGTGACTTAAAGGAAGCCCCAAAAGAGTTCACTATTTATGAGAACACATAAAAATAAGTTCTCATAATTTGAATAAAGGTTCAGGGACATGGCTATGACATTCCAATCTCTGAGGGATACAAATATTATAGAAAAGAGAAATGATCCCAAATTAACATGGAAAATATGATGAAGCAAAAGCATGTGATAAAATTACAGATCCAAAGCACTGAATATAAGATTAATGGAAGGATTTCCTACAACTAGAGCAATTCTTTTAGAAGTCCCATCTTTTGTGAGTAACACGGCACAGCCAGATTACTGCCTGACAGCCTTATTTTGCTTTGTACCCCAAAATGGTAGATTCCTGTTTCAAAAAAGGTTGAACAGATGGAGATTTTGCCATTAATGATTACTTCCCCACAAAAAATGATGATGATTCTGAAAGAGTAACTGTGAAAGCATTTCTAATAGTTTCTTTTCCAATCCTCAAGTCAGTAATTTAGAGAGTTATTTTCCTTGTTCAATTCACCCACATACAGAATTCTTCCCCAAATTGCAGCTGGCTTAGAAATTGTAATTTGGTCTTCTGTTCACCTGGTTCTTTGGAGCTGAGGAACTGATGTGTTTACCTTCCATTTTCCTCTATCTGGTTTTTCCTAATGGCTTTCAATTATTAACCCTTTCTGTAGATGACAAAATGGAAGGACAAGTGAGATTCACATAAATAATTTCCTGGGGCCCCACTAGAATCTTGCTTAATCATTACAGCATGTGATTTTCCAATGAGGTCTTACATTCTGACAGCCATGGAGTCAGGGATACTGATTTGGCTACTTTTGATAAATTCTTAAAGAGGTGCATTAGATACTATCCACAAAAAAAAACCCGATTTCATATCATAAAGACAGTTTTGGGGGGCTTCAGATACTTATCTCTGGAATGAAGAATGGCCCTTCTGACCTCCCAGAGACATTCTAAGGATTCTGGGTTCATAAAGAGAAAAATATAGCCAGGCGTGGTGGTACACACCTGTAATCCCAGCACTCCGGAGGCTGAGGCAGGAGGACTGTTGCGAGTCCGAGACCAGCCTGGGCTACAAAGTGAGCTCAAGGCCAGCCTGAACTGCAGAGCAAGACCCTGTCTCAAAAAGACCAAAAAAAAAAAAAAAAAAAGAGAGAGAAAAATATATAGTTATCAAGTCAATGTACTTTTCTTTCTCAGTTTCAGGATGGATTTCTATAAGGGCCTTGGATTTGGCTGAATTAATTAAATATATTAATTTGTTCATTCATTTAGTCACCCAGAAACTGTTTATACAGCTCAAGGTGTTAAATCAGAAATGAAACAATAGAGATTAAAGCCTTGAAATGGGGGTAAATGCCAAAATTACAACTTAACTTATGACCCAATTCTGGAAAATCCGTTTCTCACCTACAAATGTCTTTTCTATGTTCTGGTGGGGCGACTGTGGCAGCAACCTCAAATTGAAATGAATCTAACTTAATATTTATTAAACTCTTGTCAGCCTTTACAGATAACATAGGCAGCCTGCCTCCTGATCTCAAGATGGTAATGTGTTCATTAAATAGGTAGGAATAGTGAAATATTAAAGGTAAGTTTTTCGAGATAGGGCCTATATCTTGCATATTTTTACGCCTCCTAGAGTATTGCAAAGAGAAGATTATACAATAGATGCTGAATTAAATGCAGTTAATTTTGACAGATAAGTTAGTTCATGGAGACTAAATGAGAAGTAAGGATGATATTCCTGCTTTAATTTGTTTAAATTCTCAGAGAAATTTGGAATACCACGAAGAGATTATTTATATAGGTAGCTTATGAAAGACTGATTAGAAAATCAACATATAAAGAGCAGAGGAAGAGAGTGCTGATCCAGCTAGAGTCAAGAAAATAGGCAAACTAAAGGGAAGTGGGTTTAACATGGAGTGGAGGTTCAATAGAGTTCACTGACAGGCACAGAAGCAAAAGGTTTGCACGTCTTAAGACAGTATTTGGAGAAAGAAGAGTTAAAATAATGCTTCATACTAAAATGCAAATATCACAGAAAAATGTTTTAGTTTTAATAGTAATTAAAATGTTCCCTGATCAAAAATAAACTAGAGGTATCATCATATTATTAAAAGAGAAACTATTTCCTTGATGAAACAATTAGGAGCTTCATGTTTTCATGCATGGAAAAAAGATGTACTGTTTCTAGCTCAGGTTGGGACCACAGAGAGTACTTAGACCCATGCATGGGTGCCTGGTTGATGGTTGCTTTGATTCCATAGAACAACAACACTTTATGTACTGGCACATATTCAAGGAAGCCTACATTACAAAATGGTATTAAAATTCACAACCACCAAAGCTCCAGCATATAGAAACCCCCATATCAGAGACTGGAGTAAACAGAATTAATGTTAGGGCTTGTAGAAGATCACACAACTAATATACATTGACCATACAGGCTGGCAGAAGGTTGGAGTAGCTAGGAATTTCTCACAGAGGACATTTACAGAGGATAAGCCCACTATTGGAAATTCTGTGTGAAAGGTGTAGTTATTCTCATACATTACCAAACTGACATTTAATGCAAATCAATCCCCCTGTCACATGTGACAGTTTTCTAAGCAGCTGCTTACCCTTGGAACTGATCCTAGCCTTGAACAACCCACCGTAGAACCCTGGACATGAAAATTTAATGGGGTGGGCAGGGAGAGTGGAGGGTGGGAAGTTTATTCTTCCAAGTACTAAATCTTATGTTTACCTCAACAGTCCTTGAAAGATCATAGACTATAAAAACTGTATCTTGGAGTCCAAACCTCTCCCATTAAAAGTGAGGAAACACAGTCTCAGAGAAGTGAAAGCAGCTGACCCAATGGAACACATAAAATCCATTCTGATAGCAGAATTAGAACTTAATTCCAACACTAGTATCCTTTCCACAGCAGCACACTAAATGCCTGCAAAGCCAATGCCTTCTGCCTTGGATAAAGGAGTCATGGACAAGATGGGCTTTAGCTATTAAGGACCCATTAAAAAACTCATTATATTTGAAATCAATTAAACATGATTGTCTTTACTTACAAATGTCATCCACTGTGACAGGGAATCAATGTTTCAAGTTGTTGAACAGGTCATCATCCCTGTCCTGTTGGATGACACCTGTAAATAAAATAAATCTATTTTTGAGTGAGTAGATTTTTAAAACGCTAACTAGATTTAAGATGCATGCAGTTTAAAGCAGAGTAATATTCTGAATGATCCTTAACTATGTACTGCTGGAGAAAGATACTTCCTAGTATCGGCTACTTCACTCTAAAAAGTTACTACAAGCCAAAGCACAAGAGAACCTATGCAATGTATCCTGCCTGAGCACAAAAGGAATCATGCCTCGGAGAGCCAAAAGGGTCCTCTAACTACCTTATCTACCTTGATGTCTTGCTTCTGTATCATTTCTACTTTGAAGAAGGGAAAAACCAAAGTCCATGTGCAGTTCAATGACTGGGGTAATGTCAATAGCTGAGTATCTTTAGCTCAGAAAATTGAAAAGTTTATATACAACATAATAAAACAGGTTATTATCAGGTTGACCAAATCTTTCACAAACATTGACTTAGGACATTCTGCCATATCTGCTTAGAATATAATTGTCAGCATTAGATACTGAAATATAGGCAGGGTTGAAAAATGTTGTGAGTAGAAAATGGAGCAATGGTGAGAAAATGGGAATGCGACAGGGAAAAGAACAATATTAAATATAGCATACATTTAAGATTTCAAACTCTGGCTATTTCCAAATAAGATTTGTGGTTCCTAACAAATATAAGTATATGAAAGACCAGTTTTTGCAAGTTGTCTAACAGTCTATAATTTAAAATGTTGGTTTCTCTGTAGCCACGGAACACCAGTGTAAGTAAGATCTGCCAGAATCTAAAAGCTGGACTGAACAGTGAGTATTTTAAATTTCTATTCTGTACTAAAATACTTTTTAACATAGCTGAAAATGCTTTAGGATGTTGTCCTGAAATAATATGGTTGTTATAACATTACCACAAACTCACATTGAGATAGAATATGCCAAGTTCTGGTTGAGTGTTTTATATCTGCTATCTCATTCAATCTTTAAAACAACTTGGTTTTTATTACAACTTTATAAATAGGACAAAGCACAGAGAAACGAAATAACTTGCATACAACTCTATTTGATGACAGAATCTAAGCTCAAAACTCACTGTATTTCTTTAATCTAGCAATTGAAGATTCTTGAAAGTATAAAATGAATTATTATACTTCTGATTAGAATACATAAAATTCTTGCAACTAAATCTCACACAATAAAAAACATCAGGAAATTCTCTTAACCCTTTAGGGAGTGAAGGAGGGAGTGGATGGAGGCAACTGTCAAAAGCAAAATAATTTTAAGGCTAAGTAATTATAATTTTTAATGTTAACCTGAAATATCTCATAATTTAAAATATGAACAGAAAAACTCAAATTGCTTTTTATAATGAAAAAAAAAAGTTTTTCTGATTCAATTACTTCTTATTGCCTTGTTTTATTGGTTGTTTTCCTTAACTTTTCTACTTTCTTTTAATGTTTTGGTGCTGAGGTCTAAACCCAGGGGTTCAAGTGCTTTACCACTGAATTAAATCCCTACTTCCTGACTCAATTATTTCTCAAAACAGTAAGATAGCTATTTAACAGACTGAATTAAACCATGCATATTAAAATATATACATAAATAATCTTGCTAAAATAATTATTTCTAGAGTAAATTATCTTTAAGGAAAATGAAAAAGTAATTTTGATGGCTAACATAACCCTCCTCAATATAATAGCAGTTAACTTTTCCTAAACCATAAATTTCCTAACCATAAATTACACTGCTGACAAATCCCTGAACTTTTTTTTTTAATAGGGGGCATTTTTCCAACCCATTTTAAAAACTGTAAAGCTGACAAAATAGGAGACAATGAGGAGTATAAAATATACCTAATATACTTTAACTGAACAAGAAATAGATACAGGCAAAGAACAGCACCACAGAAACTAGACATCAAGAAAAATGCATTTAGTTTTCAAAGCACTTGAGGAGAAATGAACCTCCTCTGGCAATAATGGCTTTTTGAAAAGGATTCCAAACAGAAAAAGATAAAGTGTGGTTTCATGGTAGCTTACCCTTTTCTCTGACACCCCATCCTGGCCTGCAGCATCTTTCTCATCATGTGTCTCTTTCAGGACTCCCATATGTTTTTTGTATGCTGGCTCTCTGTTTAAGGTTGTGTATCCTATGTGCTCATATATTGGGTTTATCGTCATCTTGGCAATGTATTCTGCTGCCTTGGTTTCAATATAGAGAGTAATCAAGCCATCAGTCACCAGATCGTGGATGGACTCAAAGCGTTTCTCCCCAACAAAGTGCTTTCCATCGTAGTAGAGCCTGAAGTTTCTGGTTTGACTTCCAAATCTGCCTCAATGAAATGGGAAAGATGTTTATAAGAAAAGTAAGCAAGTGAATTTTTCTGAAAACAAAATGAAACAAAAAAAGAACTGGTTTCATTATGTATGTCTCTTTAGGTAAGTTGTGGCTAATCTTTATGAATTTCCTAGAATAGATAAAGTTTAACTTCTGAAAACAGAAATGAATTTGTAATAAGTAGGGATAATTAGCCAATTTGAGAAGCAAAAGTTTGTTCTTCCTTCTCTTTGAAGCTACTCCACTATGCCTACAGGAAAAATGGGAAAATAAAGATCACACCCTACTAATACACATTCAATTTTGTAAGAGTCAACTCTATGATATATGAACTTTCCGTATTGATATTCTTTTCTGCAAATTGATCAATAAAAACATTCAATGTACTGCAGACCCCAGCAGGGCTCACTTGAGGCCAGCAATCATTTAAAGTGAAGCCAACTCCAGAACCTGAGCCATGTAGGTCAGGATGGCATAGAAACATAGTTTGGCTATTTCTGGCCACAGACCAAAGACTTGCTCTTCCCTTTTATACAGTCATTCTTCTGTGTCTGCTGGCTAAGTATAGGCAAGAAGTGTCTGCAATTCACAGGGCATATAAGTTATGAACTATCAGACTACAGAAATTCTGTTTTCAATCTTGAGTCATGTTTTAATGACACCCTTTAACAACTGGAGAAGAATAGTTTCCTTTGATGAAAACTTCAGTATTTTGCTTCCTGAAGCAAACCTCAGAAACGAATCCAACTTGGCAAGACTGGCATCAGTGTTCCTGCAAGAAAGGGCACTGTCTTTAACAAAAGCCAATGCCAAAGGGCAACAGGGCCTGCCAGTGTCACGGTCTCCCGAAGGTAACACTAAGTGAGCCTAATTAAAAGCTAAACAAACCAGAATCATTATTAAAACACACACAGAGAACAAAGTGAACTATAAACCTAGATCCTGTTTAAGAAAAATATTAAATGGAATAGAAAACTTTCATTTAACAATATTATTCTGTCCATTCCAAATGGACAGAAATGGGGCATTTCTTAACGTGCCCTTTACAAAAGTACTAACATTTTTGTAATGGTTCAAATTAGAATTTAATAATTAGTCCAGAACCTAACATTCCATTCATGCTAGACCTTCTAACACATAATTTATCCATATTTTGATTTTTCAAAAGCAATCAAATTGTCATTTACACTCAGTTGAATGATCCATAGAATTACATTTTTGTATTTGCCATTTTCTAAAGTTAAGGGCAAATTTCTGCCATGTAAATTTGCATTAAAATGTAAGCATAAAACTTAGGAAGATAAATTTCTACACCAAAGTTAAGTATTAAAGACCTCAGTTTATACTATTTTTATATATTTTTTTTGCCAACATACATTCTGTTGTTTATAAATAAACACAAAGCCAAATTTTATGAACTCTTACAATAAACACACATAGTATGGCTTATCATTAAGTTCTTTTATATTTCAGTTATATCAAAGGCATTTCTAAGAGGGCTCAGCTCATTTTACTCTTGCTAGGGTGCACGATTTTAAGTGGGCACTTCTACAGTGGCTATGGCCCTCAGAGACTATTCAAGCAATCACCTGTCACACAGCTGTCTTCTGAAACCCAAGAAGTACAGGGCGCATAGGCATGCACAGAAAGCCACACAGGGCTGAGGATGGAAGCCTGAGGCTGGATCCTAGTGCTGTACTGAGGTGGTTCCTAGTCTCTGCAGGGAGAGGATTTCTGACTACATGACAGGTGTAGGGCAATAAAAAGGTTAATTTTTGTCTTTTTCTTCCCTCCTCAGCTCAGTGACTTCAAGAGCTCCTCTCCATGATTTCCAATTTCTTCTCGGTCCACATTTCAGCTCCTGCCTGCCAACACAATCACATTTAAAGTCTTAGGGGAGCTATCCGGTTACTCAAATGTCTCATAATGTGGTTTGATTAAAACTTAAACCTCAGAAGACAAGAAAATGAATTTCCATTTGGAATTTTGACTATTTTTTAAAGAAAAATTACATTATTTTTACTAAAGCAAGCATACATTTTCCTTGCCTACTTTGAACTGCACTTAGGAAGTTACACAAAGAATAACATAATGGCATAGGACATCAGAGACTTCTCCACTTCCTTGACCTGATCTGAAAGGCATATTGTACTTTGTAGAATTAGAAGTGAAGAAAGAGGATAGAAAATCTTTGAGAAAAATGGGGAATGGATGTGTCTATTCCATGAAAAAAAGCCATAAAAGGAGAAATACCAGATCTAAAGTACAGAAAAAAAAACTTTCCTTATAAAAGTTTACTGCTATCACCTTATTTATTCAATAAGTATTTAACAAAATACCAGAAACTGTGTTTAGTACTAGGGAGATCATAGTGAAGTTCTGCTTCCCTAATGGGAAATAGTTTAACATAAAAGCAGATCAAAGTTTGGTGTAGTGGCACATGCCTGTAATCCCAGTACTCTGGGAGGCCAAGGAAAGATCACATGTTTGAGCATAACCTGGGCAATCTAGTGACTTAGTGAGATCTGTCTCCAAAATAAAAAAGGAGTGGGGATGTAGCTCAATGAAAAGACCCTCGGTTTAATGTCGGGTATTGGGGGTGGAGGTTGGAGTGCAAAAACATGAAATGCTGGATTTTTTAAAGTTCACCTTTAAATTATTTTTAGGTGACTATAAAAATGTGTGTAATCTTTCTCTTAAATAGAAAATTTACATTTCTGTTAAGTGATTCATGAAACCAAGTGACTCAATTATTTACCTTACATAAAAAAAAAAAAATAAGGCCACTGCTTAGTAAGATCTCCAAGCTACTACTACAGCCAGATAAAAAAGCCATGCTCTGCTTATGGTCTTGAATTAGGGTTTTTGGTCAGGAGCAACCAAGTGTGGGTCCTATGGGATTAACAGAAACCTTAGGCTATAGTATCAGACAAATGTGAATTTAAATTCTACATCTGTTATTTCCTAGCTGGGTGACTTTGGGGAAATCATTCTGCAGAGTCTGCATCTAAAAAAAAAAAAAAAAAAAAAAGAATGACATCAATTTAATCCACATTGTTGTGAAGATTTTATAAGAAAAGGAAAAGTTAAATTTATGGCAAGCTCAATGAATGGTAGTCCCTCTTCTCTGTTAGCTTAGGCTCTTGCAGAGTATGACAGAATGAATTATAAAAGTAAAGCAGAAAAGACAGCCAATAAGTAGGCATGAAAGAGTCTAGGTAAGTGGCAACACCGGCTGTCCAGGAACATCTCTACACTGGCATACTTTACAGTCAGCAAAAAGCAAGAAGGAGTTCTTCGTGAATTTTTCTGCTGGACAGCCCTGAATAAATTCATGTTGCATGGTTAAGCAGAGTGAGGCTACCACAGAGTGCAAAATAGGAAGGAGTAAACGGTCTTTCCACTGTGCAATACTATCTGAATTCAATGGAGAGAGGTCAGTAAATATTTTTGCATGGTAATAGATCCTGTGACAAATATAGACCTCTAGATTGCAGAGTACATTTCCCTTCCATTTCTGTAGGTAAATTTTCTTTGCTTCTTTTCCCATATTTATTATCTGCCTCCACTGCTGAATAAATAGCTGTTCAAACTTTAGAGAATATGCTTGAAACTATACAGGCCTAACTCATCTAGAATTTAACAAGATAAAAATTCATTTTCTCCAAAGTGGTATTGCAGTTAACAAACAGAAACATGAGGATAGTATGTTTTGAACTGCTACTGTTGTACATAATTACCACTTTCTAGGAAGCATATCTTTTCTCCAGTGATTCCAAGTTTTGGTTTTCATATTTTAAAAGGCTGTTTAATGCTGTGTCCAGTTGCATTCAGATGAATTTAAAAATGTCATTCTAACATCTTGCTTTTAAAAAATGAACAAAATCCTTAATGTCATCCTTTGTTCTTTAGCAAATCATAAACATAAACAAATTGAGTCTAAAAGCAGAAAATGATGAAAATATATATATAAATAGCATGTGGAATGTTACTTTACTTTCTCTAAAACCATGAATTAGTTTTGATTTGAGGCCAAAGTTATTTAGACATGTTTCTTCAAAGGAAACCTCCAAGTTAACATATTTTCTGTTGATAAGCAGAAAATAAAACATATACAACACACTGTCTAAATTAATAATGAGATGTTAGAAATATTTCCAGCAACCAACATACAAAAACTATTTTATTTATCATAAAGATACACAGGTGTGTTATTTACAAAGTCAAAAAAATTGATCAAATAGTGAAATAAATACAAATATCTCATAAATCTTAAACATACCCTTCAAAGACAGCTTAGAACCAAAACAAGAACATGATGAAGCACTCAAGTAAATACTAAAAAATAAATTTAGTTGGACTCTATGAACTTAGTAAGGGTAAGTCAGAGAGAGAGAGTAGTTATATACAACTTTAAATGCTTCTTCCATCTAAAACTTTGTTAGGAAATGACTATTCATCTATCTTGAATATCCATCTTATATCTATTTTGGATGATAAAGTGGAACAAAAATATTAAAATATATTAACTTCTGATGATTTTCCCTTGGTAGAATACTTCCAGTGAAGAGGCAAACCCATCTGTCTATTAAACATGCCAAGATGGCACTAGGTAGCCCTTAGAAGTGGAATTGGTATAGGAGGATTATTTGACAAATCTGTGTAAGAAGCAGTCAGGTATTCCTCCCACCCTCTCTATCCTGTCCCAACTGTGGGAAATACTGTTGTTACCCCTTCCCAAAAAGTTACCCCTTCCCAACTATGGGAAATACTGTTGTCTAGATAGGATGAAATGGGGAGACAGTGAATTGAGGAGTAATGTGCAGACTTGATGGTAGCGAAATCATCTTAAAAACTAAGTGATTTAAATACTAAATACTGTCATCTCCATTTGCTTCACCAGTAGGTTCTCAGAAGGCTTGTAACTTTCTAGAAAGGAGGAGCAGCAGTGTGATTTACCCAGCTGAAAACATTTTACAGACTACCATTCT